TACTTTGTTAAGCTTCACACCTGACATTAGGAATGTATGTTTTTGCCATTTCTGGCTTGTATAGATAGTGCTTCTCTGAACATTTATTGTATAGTTATTTTTGCTTTTATTGAATAAATCCCTTGGGAAAAGTTTCTGTGAAAGAAATTGCAGTCAGAATATATGGCTATCTCCTCATTGCCTACCCATTCTCTTCTTATTTGTTTATAGAACAGTAATTTCTGCAGCTATTAGAAAGGAATTTGGCCAAGGACTATGGATCCAGTCCCAGAGCATGAATTTATTATAAGCCAGATCTGGAAATCCTTGTTCCTTTTGCTAGTGTGCAGTGTAAGAGTAACCTGCGGTTCAGTAAGACAAAAGGAAAATAACTGGAGGCCAGTGTCACCACGGCCATGTGTGATTTTTTATGTAATTTTCCCACCTCTTTTTTGTCTAGTTACCTGCCCACCTGCCTCTTTAGTATTTAAGGGTAGTTTCAAAAGTTAATGGAAAATAAATTTAAATATGTTTATTTTGGTGCCAAAAAGACCTTGAAATCTACCCATGGTTTTTTCATAATAAACATTTTTATGAACATTTTAAAGACCACTCATAAGTATGGATTTTGAAAATTTTTTTGCAATATAGATCATTTATTTTAATTTCATTTTCCACTATATTTTTGAAGTACTCCCATATATATATATTTAAAATAAAATTGAGAGTCCATAGGTATAACTGACAATACCAGAAAATTCTATGACTCAGTTCTTTTCCTGTTGACTTACCAACAGTGGGACCAGTCATTATCAGTTCTGTGGAAAAAGACACAGGAAATGGGGAATTAAAAGGATCAAATATTTACTAGCATCAAGCATAAGCTAATGTAGTAATTACATCTTTTATCTAACTATTGGAGCCTATTTTGCTAACAGTAGAAAATTCCAAGTCCATTTGCAAATAGATTCAGACAATACTTTGCTTATTTTCTTGTAATCAAGTTCTCTAACCTTGGAACCAGCTGCTGATGTTATATCTACTCTAACTCATAAAGGCCCAACTTTTTATCCCTGTGTCCAAGATGTTGAGGGATATTTTCTATTTGTCTCTAAATGTTGTTTCTATATTGTGTATACACACACACACACACATACACACACACATTTGTAGACCTTTGGAGGACAATGGTTCCTAGTGGTAAGAAAAAAATGACATAGTCTTTTCAGAAGTAAAAGTGGATACTAGAACACAAACTTTTCTGGGGTAGAGAGCAAAATGTATAAAGACAAAGATATAGGAAAAGAATAAAAGGATATTCTAGATGAATAAGTTGTATCTAAAATTTAGATTTTTTGTAGGCTGATATTAGCAGGTAAGGCTGGAAATAAAGATTAAAACAGTAGTGTGAAGGACTTTGGATACCAGGGTTGAATTTTTGTGTGGTAGACAATGGGCAGACATACATGTTTCTGTTGTTGGAGAGAGTTTGCTCAGAGTTGAGGTTTAGAAAGCTGAATGTGTGATGAGTTGACATCCATGAGGGGGACAGGATGTAGACATTCAGTCCATAGCATGCGTGATTGAGATGCCTGTTATTATTCTAATTCAGATGAGAGGGGATCTGAACAGGATGAGAACGGAATAAACAAAAGGCATTATGGAGGATGTGGCAAACTGTGAAGTGCTGAGTCAGGGGGACTGCAAGAAAGTGCCAGTGTTGGAAGTTTGCAGTTAGGAGTGTTTTGTTTGTATGCTCAAGGGAGCTGAATTCAATTTGGGGTATGTGACCTAAGCATCCTAAATGTTCACATAATATTCACGTAAGACAGAGATTGGCCTCAATAGAAATGTATTGTAAGCAACAAACAAACCACAAAAGCAATTTTCATTAGTAGTATGCATTAAAAAAGAGTAAAAAAGAAATGTGACATTAATTTTAGTGAGGCATTTATTACAATATTTCAAAATATTATCACTTATTATATAACAAATATTAAATATTCTAATATCTCAATGGACTCCTGCCATATTTCAAGCACTCGGCAGCTATGTAGGTCTGGAAAGGTGAATTTAGGATTTGCTTACAAAGTCAGTTTCTTTCCTTGTTGAGAAGGTGAACTCATGTTTGCGTTGTTTTGTCTTTTTTGCCATTATGAACCACAGGCTGTTGGAAACAGTTTGCAGGTTCCACTCCCGCTATAGGAAGCCTAGGTGGTGTATTTCTTTCTTTTTCTTTTCTTTTTTGACAGGCAGAGTGGATAGTAAGAGAGAGAGACAGAGAGAAAGGTCCTCCTTTGCCGTTGGTTCACCCTCCAATGGCCGACGGGCCAGCACGCTGCGGCCGGCGCACCACGCTGATCCGATGGCAGGAGCCAGGTGCTTATCCTGTTCTCCCATGGGGTGCAGGGCCCAAGTACCTGGGCCATCCTCCACTGCCTTCCCGGGCCACAGCAGAGAGCTGGCCTGGAAGAGGGGCAACCGGGACTAAATCCGGCGCCCTGACCGGGACTAGAACCCGGTGTGCCAGCGCTGCAAGGTGGAGGATTAGCCTAGTGAGCTGAGGCACCGGCTCTAGGTGGTGTATTTCTACAACCAGTATTGCTGGGAGAGAGCCAATGAAATAATGCCACATTGATCTTGAAGGCCGGTAGGAGCAGCAGTAGTAGCAGCAGTTTACACTCCTGCTAACATTGTGCTCCACATCCTCCCATTTGGTATAGTCACATTTCTCATTTCGTTCCAGCTAGTGGGCAAAAAAATGGCTTCTTGTTTTGTTGTAATTTGCATTTTGTGTGATGATTATTGAGTTTGAATTTTTTCTTTAATTAATTTATTTGTTTGAGAGGTAGAGTTACAGACAGAGAGAGGGAGAGACAGACAGATCCGCTGTTTTACTCCCTAAATGGCCAAAATGGGCGGAATCAGGAGCCAGGAGTTTCTTCCAGGTCTCCCATGTGGGTGCAGCTTCTGCTGCTTTCCCAGGTCATTAGCAGACAGCTGGACTGGAAGAGGAGCAGCGAGGACTCGAACTGGTGCCCAAATGGGAATGCCAGCACTGCAGACTGCAGCTTTACCTGCTACACCACAGCACCAGCCCTTAAGTTTAAATGTTTTTATATGCATATGAACCTTTGTTTTTTCTGTTCTCTGGAAATCACAAATATTAATTCACAAATATTCATTAATTCAACACAAATATATTTATGTACATCTTAGTGTTATATTCATGTATATGTCATATAATGTATTCCTTCAAATATAAACATCTGATCATTCATAATATTTGTTTATATGTATATATATTAAAGATTTATTTAGGGGGCTGGGGCTGTGGCACAATGGGTAAAGCCACTGCCTGCAGTGCCGGCATCCCATATGCGCACTGGTTCAAATCCCAGCTGTTCCACTTTCAATATAGCTCTCTGCTATGGCTTGGGAAAGCAATAGAAGTTGGCCCGAGTCTTTGAGCCCCTGTACACACATGAGAGACCTGGAAGAGGCTCCTAGCTCCTGGGTTTGGGTCAGCACAGTTCTGGCTGTTGTGGCCATTTGGGAGTGAACCAGCAGATGGAAGATCTCTCTCTGCCCCTCCTTCTCTCTCTGTGTAACGTTGCCTTTCAATTTATTTATTTATTTGAAAGGCAGCATTACACAGAGAAAGAGGGAGAGTCAGAGAGAATCTTCCATCCACTGGTTCACTCCCCAAATGGCTGTAAAGGCCAGAGCTGGGCTGATTCGAAGCCAGGAGCCAGGAGCTTCTTTTGGGTCTCCCACGTGGATGCAGGGGTCCAAGTACTTGGGCCATCCTCCACTGCTTTCCCAGGACATTAGCAGAGAGCTGGATCGGAAGAGGAGCAGCCAGGACACGAACCAGCGCCTGTATGGGATACTGGCACTGCAGGCAGCTGCTTAACCGGCTGTGCCACACTGCTGGCCCTTATTTGTTTATGTGTTAAAAGATTTTTTTTATTTGAAAGACAGAATGAGAGAGAGAGCAAGATCTTCCATCCACTGATTTTAATAGCCAGAACAGCCGGGGCTGGGCCAGGCTGAAGCCTGGAGCCAGGAACTCCACACAGTGTTTCAATTGGATGGCAGGGGCCCATGCTCTTGGGCCACCTTCCAATGCCTTCCCAGGCACATTAGCAAGGAACATTAGCAGGGAGCACATTAGTAGGACTTGTGACCTAGTCCTCTGTGACACAATGCCAGCCCCAACAAATATATATTGAGCTCCTACCATCTGCTAAATATTGTTCTAAACACTAGGAATATATTAGCAAGGAATAAAAGGTGGCCCCAAATTCATGTTGTCCTGTAGTTAAAATTCTAGTGTGTGTACTGGGAGTAGGGGGCATATGGAAAAACCAAAAACATGTAAAATATTGTACGTCATATGGCTTTAGGGAACTAGGGTTTAAATTTGGCTCAGCCATTTCACATCATTAAATCTTGATTTCTCCAATTGTATAAAGGAGGTTGTAAGAGTACTTATATTGTTTATTTAATGAATGTGAATTTCATAGTGCCTAACAAATAGTTAGGTTTCAGAAAATGCTAATGCCATTATTATTATTATTATCTGTCTTTCTTTTGCGTTTTCTTCAATAGTTCTTGGAGAACTATTGAAATTTAAAATTAAATGTCTTTATTATTGTGGAGTGGTTACTGTCATTTTGATGTCAACCTCCTGGTGCTTTCTTCAACAAGACAGATGTCTGGCTTATTTTGGGGTGTTATTTTCAGGCTTCTTAAATTCCAAGGACCAAGAGCCTGAGAGCATGTATGTTTTAAAAAACTGCATCATGTTGGATAATCAAAATGTGGGAAAATCCAAGGTAATATCTTATATAATTTGGAGATGTGTTCTGTGAGTGTAAATGCTGCTGGAATTAGCATTTCAGTTCAACAATCAACTTATTGAAAACCTATTATGTGCAGAATATTGTGTAGAGAGTGTATATATATATTTATATCCTTGTTAACTTTTGGAACCATTATTTGTCCTTCTTTCTTAGATAATGATGTTGAAAATGATCTTCAATCAGACATCAGTTGAGCACTGCAAGACAGACACAGGAAAGCAGAAAGAATGCAACTTCTTCTTAATAGCTGTTCGCCTGGCTTCACTGAACCAGATATTGGATCCCTGGGTTTATCTGCTGCTAAGAAAGATTCTTCTTCGGAAGTTTTGCCAGGTAGCAAATGCTGTCTCCAGCTGCTCTAATGATGGACAGAAAGGGCAGCCTATCTCATTATCTAATGAAATAATACAGTCAGGAGCATGAAAGAGAACACTTAATCAACGTGCATGCTCACAACTTTTGGCAGCAAATATCCCTAAATCTTGTGAATGCAGGCATCTCTGGTATGCCACTGTTTATGCATTGGAGTGGAATTTTTGGTATAATGCTAAATGGTTTCAGAAACATAGATAATCCCTTGGTGCCAAAAGTCCTGAAATACAAACAAAGGAAAATGTATTAATAACAGTCTCATTTTTTTGGGATCTCTGCCATTTATAGCTGAATATGTGGTTATTTATGTGATGAAACCATTTTTATACATGATTTTGATGTGTGGGAGGGCAGAGATAGTTAATATTCAAGTATACTCTGTACTTGGGAGATTTAACCCTACAAATCATTTAGGACAAGGGGATGGCACTTTGTTTTTATTCCAGAACATTGGTCTTCTGTGTTCTCTTTCATTGTCTCACGTTTCCTCTGTTACTTTTTCTTCTTACATTTAAAAAAAATTAATTAGGGTGAAAATGTGTATAACATATCCACAATATTCATTGATAGTGGTGTTATTTAAATAGTGCTGAAGATACCAAGTTAGTTCCAAACCTTCCAAAGTTTAAGATTTGGTTGACTTGGAAATTAGGTTTGCTCCTTATCTGAATAAGAACCAATTCCATTTGTTTCAAATGTAGTGGGGTTTGTGACTACTCAAATTGCTAAATATTCTTTCATCTGAATACATTTTGCATTCCTCTAGCCTGGAAGAGATTCATGAAACTGTTCTGTGACAGTCAGAGAAGTGATTTTTTTTTCAGTATGCTATTTAAGGACTGATTTGGGCACTAAATATAGATACTCTGATTAACTGTTTCCCTTGATTTTCCCACCAACAGCATTCTCCAGCCATTGGGGATCTTCAAATATCAACTCATATTTCTAAAACAAACAAATATTTTGAAGGTTTAATGAAGACTTTCCATAGTTTGGCTTATTTATAGGATAAGAAAATGAGTAATATTGAACCCTTATACTCTCTCTCTGCTCTCTACTTGAAGTATCTCTATCTAGATATTTGTGATTAAAATAGTGATAGTTATTTAAAATATATTAAAATAATAATTTCAATAATATTTCCTTATTACACCCAAAGGCAAACCTTGAGAGTTAAGCTTGACATCTTTGTGATTCAAGGAAATCATTATATTATGTTTTGAGAATTGTACTTTTTAAATAAAAACGCTCCCAAATGTAGTGATCTTTTAAGTCTAGCCAAATGCTTGTCATATCTTTGGCACATTCATTTTATAAAACTATTAGCTTTTTTGTTGTTGTTGAATTTTCAGTTTGTTTTATGACTCTCCTAGTGAATCTTCAAATTTACTTATACCTCTTATAATAGCTGCGACTTCATTGTGTTTAGTAAGCATTTGGAGAAGAATTAATTTTAACAACTACAATATATCTATTGTGTTATTGTGTACACCATAGGTCAGTCAGGAATAATCAATTTAAATGGCCATGCCAAATTGAGTCAGAAGATAAAATCTGAGGGCTATATCGTGATGGTTCTTTCACTAATCTAGATTTTGGAAAATGTAAGAAATAGACTGTACTAAAACCTGGTTATAAAATCTCTCAATGCATATAATTGGGTTACCCCACAGATTACTTGATGGAGTTTAAGACAAAAATACCTACTTCTTTTCAGAAAAAAAAAATGCACTTAAATAACCTTGTAATAAAGAGCTTTGCCTCCTGGGTGATCATCTGACCATAGGTTAAAATCACATAGACATGCACACAGTGTGGATGTGAGTGACATGAACGTGATTGTGTTATTCCTTTCAGTATCTAGTGTAATACCCAAAGTGTACAAATTGTCCTGTAAATATTTTTTCAGTGAATGGACGAATCAAAATTTGCCAAAACCAAGTGCAAATTGGCAAGGCACACACCTTGTGTTGGCAGTGCTTCATGCAATCACAGTCATTAGCATGAGGAAGTGAATGACTTCTGTTTATTATAGAAAAACAAATTTACCTTCAAAGGTGTAGTGTCATCTTAGTATACAGCCAAGAGCTTTATTGTATTAATAATTTAGGAGACTTATGCTTCCAAATAGTAATGGATATTACTGTCAAAAGAATATTACTTTTCATCAAACCACGGAAGTACAGAAGACAAAAGAGCCTGAAACTTATCCTTAACTACAAAATAAATTTCCGTCTAGAGGATATAGAATAGAAATGAAAGAATAACAATTTTTGAACAAATTTTAAAAGGATGTGGGAAAAGAACAAATTATGTAAAATGTATGTGAGCTGTATTATCTAGGCAGCCATTTGTTAGTCTGGGAAAAGCCTGATAAGAATAAGCATCCCAAATGATTTCAGCATTTGATGATAATTAAGTTATATTAAACAGACGTTGTACAGAGATCTAGGTGAGTTTAGAAAGTAGGCATCATAGTCATTCCAAAAGGACATGTCTGTTAGGTTTATTGGCCTTGAAGGTTACTGTCACATGCTTAGTTTATCCATGGATATATTTGAGTGGGAAAAATGTGTGCATAAAATATGGTGATTCCTAAACTTCAAAGTATTGGCAAATGTATGTAAAATTAGCAAGTGTCAAGGATTTTCCAAATAATTAATTTATAAATTATGTTGTGTCATGGAAGAAAATGATGACATGCTATCCACAAATAGTTTATTTTCCAAATAAAATGGTATGGTGAATGTCTTTAAAATATTTTTAAGCTAATGAAAAAAATGTGTTATCTCAAGATTTATCAAACTTACCTAGTGCAATAAACCATGACACTTTAGGTGTAAGGTTTATTCATACTAGTTTTAAACTAATTGGAAAAAGAGGTACACATATGTTTCTGCTAAATACCTCTTTATTTTGTAGATTTCTTGACCATGCTACAGAAAAAAAATCATATAGAACTTCAGGCAAGTTAACCCTAAAATGACCATTGGCATTGACTGATAGATAAACAGTGTTTTAATGAAAATTTTCACTCTGTAGTAATATTCTAATATCAGATCTTAAAGTGGATTAGACCTTTTGTTTATTCTTTTTTTTTTTTTTTTTGGTTTTTGACTTCAAATTAGTGATCAGTTTTCATCCTTACTCACAACAGCACTTATGTAATAGTTCTTGTGGGATGACATAAAACCAGAGTCTGAAAATAGAAAAATTTATCCTTTGAAGATTTGGGATGTTATATTGCCTACTTATTTTTATAATTTAACCCTGAAATCTTCTCTTGAAATACCTGAGAAACTAGAAGATGAAGGATGTAGTGACTGAAGAATATTTATTATTACAAAAATTAAAAGTTTTAATTTGAGTAATTAAAATTTCTATGTTTTATTTATATGAAAAGTTTAGGTTGTCAACCATGATAGATTTTCACAGCTGCTTATTTTTGTGCTTTTATATGTCTCAAAAGCTGTTAAAATTGACATCGGAATAAATGTACAGAATTGTGCAACTGTAGTTAGGTCTGTAGGACTGCTTTCTTAGTTGTGATAAAATACTGATGATAGGTGATATATCTGTGATGTTTCATGACAAGGCTACAATGGAGCCAATTTGTAAAGTTTAACAATCAGCTTAAATTCACATACACATTTGTAAAGAAGTTGTCATCAGTTCAATATTATAAGGAAGCTAACATTTGCAGATTACAAATGAAGCATGAATCAGAGAACTTGTGAAATATTGTATTTTATATATTCAGTTTTATAATTCCTAAAATGGACATGCTATTTAAAGGCTTATAAATTTATATATGTTTAACTGTATGCCATAGCACTATAATACTGTAGAGTACGCTATGCTTCTCTAGAAATGCAATGCAATCAGATGTATATCATACTCATTTATATGTCATGCCACTTCTTTATTGAGAATGGAAATTACTATTTTCAGAAGCTTTGCACCAGATTAATAAGCAACTCAAATATCTATTTTATATATATATATATATATATAATATATTGTTGTTGTTGATGATGATGTTATTAGGAAGATAATTTCTTCCACCTTCCCTACCTTAGCTCTTACCTGCTTATCCATTCTCCTATGGAGAGAAAGTAACAGAAATATTCATTATTGGTGAAACTGAGATTGTTTTTAAGAGACAGAACCTAGTGATATTTCTAACATGCCAAAACCCTAATATGTGAAACAAATCTGAATCTGTTTTTGATAAATCTGCTTTAATGGAACAATTTTATCAGGAACCAATCAGCCTTTCCATGCTTTTTGAGCCTTTTGGAGATGATCCCACTTCTCAAGTTATTTCCAAACAAGCAGCTCTTGAATGCCGTCGTCAGATGATTTGGGAATAGACTATTGTGATTCTTCAATTAAAGCAATTCAGAGGCCTAGCAAGAGCTAGCCAATCTTCAGATTTTAAGACTAACTTGAAAATAGCATGCTTACATAGATTTCAGTTTCTGTAGTTACCACAACTGTAATGCTAAGTTGTGGAAACGCATGTGATTTACTGATATGCTTCAATGTTCTTTCTGCTTTCAGAAGGATACACAGTGGGGGTGGGATAGAGAACACAGAGAAAGTTGTGATGGAAACACTGTGCACTCCCAGTTTATTAAAAGTCTCCATCCTCTTTGGTAAGATCCCAGAAGCAAGGTGTGGAAGGCACTGCATTTATCCTTGCACACCTGAGCATCACTGGGACAAAATGAGGCGTGGTCAGGACTGGTTCCTGTGAAAGCAAGTAATAAGTTCACTTAGGTCATCACTGACTGCTACACTCTGTGCCTTTCCAACTCTCCTGAAGTGTGTGTTTGTGGGGTGGGGTGGCAGCAAGAGAGAAAAGAGAGAGAGAATATCTTACCTCCTCCCTGTCTTATGTAACCAAATTTTTTATACAAATAGTATAAAGTTATTTAGAAAAATTAAAAATAGGCGCT